AATTATTATTCTATATTTTCTTCTATAAAGTTTATTTTACATTTGACGTTTAGATCTAAAATCTACCAGGGATTGTGTGTGTATAGTGTAAGGTAGGGGTCAAGTTTCATTTTTGTTCCTCACATGGACAGCAACTGATTGCTCTTCCTCCAATGCCAATTCTGTCATAAATTAAGTGGCTATTTATGCAAAGCTGGGAGAGGTTTTTCTGTTTTAATTTTTTTTCTCCTCCTTCATTCTTATTCTCTGGAAGAGTTTGTGTAACAGTGGAATTATTTCATTCTTAGAATTTTGAGAGAACTTACCAGAAAAATCATTTGGGCCTAGAGTTTTCCTTGTAGGAAAGTATTCACTTACAAACTCAATAACTTAACATTTACATCACTATTTAGCTCTCCTATTTCTTTTTTCTATTTTGGGTTAGTTGTAATTTTTTTTGAGAAAAGTATTCATCTAAATTCACAAATTTATTTTGGCATAAAGCTGTTTATAATATAATTATTATCATTTTTTAAATTTCTGGAAGATCTGTGGTGGGTCCCCTTTTTCATCCCAGAATTGGCTATTTGTGTCCACTTTATTTCTCTATCACCCTTGAAAGAGAATTCTCAATTTTATTAATGCTTCAAAGATTTTTTTTTCAAAGAATTAACATTTGACTTTGTTGCTTATTTTATATTTCAGTAACTTAGGTTCTTATCTTTCTTGAATCTGTTGATCACTCAGCAATGTAATTTTTAACTTCCAAACAGAACTGTTGTTGTTTTTAATATGTGCATGCTATATCTTTTCCTTTTCTATCCCTTCACATTTAAATTTTCAGCATCCTCATCTATTACATGTTTTCAGAAACTTTAAGCTTTAAAATATTGTATTAATTGATTTTTAATGTGAACTTACACTAAATAAGAGTCTTTTAAAGTTTAATGGAATTCAACTGAGTTTAAATTATTTTCATGTATGCTTTTTCGTCTACCATCTGAGACTTTTCAATTTGTCGTACCTTGCAGATATTCCTATTTTACCCCTTTTGCTATCTTCTAGGTTGATTGACTTTTTATTATTCTAGTTTACTCTATTAGTTTGGAAATTATACACCTCTCTACTGTTCTTTCAGTACTTACCTTTGAAATTATAACCTTTTAATGTGATTTATCAGTGTATAATAGTAAATATTATTTTTACCCCCTCCTAACTTTACTTAGTTTTCTATTGTTCATTTTTCCTTCTTTTACCTGAGCATTCTGGGTCTGCCCATGACTAATTCTTTCAGTTTTTGTTTTGTTTTGTTTTGATAAGATATCCTTAACTCCCCTTCATTCTTACAGAAGTATTTTACTGTTTGTAGAATTCTAGTTTGGCAGTTACTTTATTTGAGCATGTTAAGTATGTTATTTCATTGTCTTTGGACTTCCACTGCTTCTTTAAAGGTAATTTGTCTATTTTTTTCCTTCTTAACCTCTGGCTGCTTTTAAGATTCATGCTTGGTTACCAGTGTCTCATTATGATATGCCTAGGAGTATTGTTCTTGGTATTTATTCTACTCAGGCTTTTTTTTTTTAAACAAAAGTGACATTTACAGAAAGAAAGATTCACCTTTATTCTATGCACCTGCCTATAAATTTATAGGAACACACTCATTCCTGTTTGTCAATACCACCACATGCCCCTCTGTGGTCTGCTGTGGTCTGAATGTTTGTGTCCCCCTAAAACTCATATGTTGAAGCCCTACCCCCTAGTGCGGTCATGTTAGGAGGTGGAGCCCTTGGGAGGTGATTAGGTCATGTGGGTGGAGGCTCCATGAATGGGATTAGTGCCCTTATAACAGGGACCCCGGAGAGCTAGCTCCTTCCTTCCACCACGTGAGGGCAAGCAGGAAGCTGGCAATCTGCAACCTGCAAGAGGGCTGTCATCGGTGCCGGCACCCTGACCTTGGACTCCAGCCTCCAGAACTGTGGCCAACACATCACTGCTCTTTACAGGCCACTCAGCCTGTGACATTTTGTTACACAGCCCAGCCCTGGCCACTGCGCCCAGCCTCCGGTAACCACTCATCTCTTACTGTCCCTGTAGTTTGCCTTTTCCCAAATGTCATATAAATGCAATCATACTTAGAGTCTTTTTATTCTTTTTTCAGTCAGTGCAATGCATTTGTGATGCATCCATTTTGTTGTGTGTAATAATGGTTCATCCTTTTTTATTGCAGAGTTGATCCATGCACTGGTCAGCCTGTGAAATGCTCCTGATGGGCCCACCCAGAGGCACTCACACCTCATGTAACCTCTTCCCATGATTCGACTGGACATATGGCCTGAATCCAACAAGCTGGATGTGGTTGGAGTGCTGGCTGTCCCCTCCACGAGCAGCCGTGCAGTGGGCGTGGCTTCCATCCTGGGTGCTCTTCCTTGCTTTCCCACGGACAGCTTGCTCTGGGGGAAGCCAGCCGTCCTGTTGTGAGGCCTCCCTTGTGGAGATGCTCCTGTGAGTGATGTTGAAGTCAGACCATCTTTCCAACCAGCCTCAAGATGACTACAGTTTTGACTGATAGCTGATTGCTTCCTCATGAGGGACCCTGAACCAAAGGCATTCAGCTCAGCTGCACCCAGATTCCTGACCCACAGAAACTACAAAACAACAGCCTCTAAGTTCTGGAGGGTAATTTTTACACAGCAATTAATAACGAATACAGTCCAGTCACCAACTGAAGGACAATTCATTTATTTCCAGATTATGAATAAAGGCAGGATACACATTTGCATACAGGTGTTTATATGGACGCTGTTTTCATCTCTCTTCAGTAAACACCCAGGAGGGGGGCTGCTGGGTCACATGGAAAGTGTATGTTTATAAGAAACTGCCAACTTAAACCTGTTTCTTAGTGCTTTCATCAGTGTTGGAGAATTCTCTCCCATTTCTCACCAGATCTTTTCTCTTGCCCACAGACTCTCTCTCCTTTCCCCAGAATTCCAAAAACATTTCTCAGCATATCCTTCAGGTCTCTAAACTATTTTACTGGAATATAGGTTCTAAACCATTTTCTGGAATTTCCACTCTTCTGCTTCTTTGTGTTTCATTCTTGATATTTTCTGATTTATCTTCCACATCCCTAGGATATTTTTTAATGGCCGATGTGTCTAATTGACTTTAACCTCATCCTCTATTGTACTTAGTTTTATGACTGCATTTTTCAATTTCAGAATTTCCATTTGACACGTTTTCATGGTTTCTGATTTCTGCTGAGATTCTCATTCTTTTATCTCCTTAGGCCTAGTAAACATACTTATTTTAAAGTATATGGTTTTGAACTCCAATCTTTTGAGCCCCCATAGATAATAGGCTGCAATGGATTGCTATTTCTGCTTGTAATTTTCATCTGCTTTTGCGTCCTCATGTGCCTGGTTCTTTTTGATTATGTGTTGAACTTGGTATTTGAAAAATGGTTTGTAAGAACATTCTGAAGTCTAGAATACTGTAATTGTCCTTTGGGATAGATTATACTTTTATTCTCCCAGGTACCTGTGGGCCCCGTCAGTCCTGGAGGACTTCATTCCTGCCCCAGGGATTGAGAAGATTCATAGCTGAGCTGGGGTTCCTGGTTTTTCTTCTGACTCTCAGGATGGACCCTTCAAGGCTTCACCCCAGGGCCCTGGCAGGTGCTGGACTCAGCCTGTCCCCACAGTCCTAAAAGGCACAGCCAAGCTTCTCAGCTACCTCCTGTGGACTCAGTGAATGCCCCCAATGTCCTTCAGAGAAAAGCCTAGAATATAGGCTTCTTTGCTTGGCCTTCATTGCATCCCATGCCCACCTTCTCAGTCTCTTCAAGAAAAGATTGGTCTGAATTGTCCCTTCAGGCAATACTAGAAGCCCTGGGCTGCTTCTAGTGTGGGAGGAATAAGCTATTTGTTTAAGCCACTATTAGACAGGGTTTGGATACACACAGTCAAGCCAATTTCTACAGGATACCTTCGCTGATACATTCACATTGAACACCTAAAGCCAGTGTGGTGTTTACCATTCCTTCACACTTTTGAGGTATGAAAAGAAAATGGGGAGGAGGGAGGGATAAATTAGGAGTTTGGGATTAAAATATACACACTGCTATATATAACATAGATAACCAACAGGGACCTATTGTATAGCACGGGAAACTATACTCAATTGCTTGTAATAATCCATAAGAGAAAAGAACACACACACACACATATACGTATACACACACATATACCTATACATACACATATACACACATATACATATACATACACATATACGCACACATACATATACATACACATATACGCACACATACATATACATACACATATACACACATATACGTATATACACACATATACATACACACACACACACACATATACACACACACATATACATAGACACACATACACACACATACATATACACACATACATATACACACATATACATATATATACATATACGCACATATACATATACACACACATATATACTACACATACACATATACACACACATATACATACACATATACACACATATACATTATACATACACATATACACACACACATATATATCTGAATCACTTTGCTGTACACCTGAAACTAACCAACATTATAAATCAACTATATTGCAATAAAAAATTTTTTTAAAAAAATAAATTTTTAAAAGAAATGAAAAAGATATAGTTTTCATTAAAAATACTGTTAGAGCATCCATGGCCTTCTTCTGCCCAGTATACGTCTCATTTTATACTGGTTTCCACAGACCAAATACTCCATAAAAATCTCTGAAAAGTCAACTAATACCGAATGCAATTTGAATTCTTTAACTTGAAAATAATAAGTTGATAACACACCCTAGAGTGATATTTCGTACTTTATACCCTTTTCCAGTTTTTAAGCCTAGTTCATCTTTGTTTTAATTCCATTCTCCCTAGAAAGTTGACACAACTTAGGACGTATATCTATTTACTTCCGGGTGTAAAGAAGTGCTTACCGTTTGCGACGGAATTTCCATTTTCAGCAGTGATCGCGCTGGAGAGTGAATTAGATAATTGAATCCCATGGTTATTTGCATTTCTATCTTGGGTCTCTGATGCAATTTCTGATGTACCAAGATCATCTCGGCTAGTAAGGTTCATGTTAGTTTCAAAACCTGAAACAAATTGTAAAAAAAAGTCTTTTCTGATAAAGTGTACTGAGCAAGTTGAATCAAATAGTGGAAGGAAATAATAAAACTTATGAAAACAAACATTAATTATGCTTGAAACAGTAAATTAATAATCACCCTTAATCAAATGTATAGCCTACAAAATAGTCACCCAATTTTGACATAATACTGTTAAACATAATGGGATGCATTCAGTGGCAACAATGAATTTCATAACTTGTTATTTTCAAACATTATTATGAAATTCTATAAAGAATTTTTGATGTCATATGTCTAATTACTTGTCATTACAGAACTGCCTATCTTGAGAAGGTTATTTCCTAAAAGAAGCATGGCGATTTATTCATGTTTCAGAAGTTTTCTGAGTTTTTAAATTAAGTCGAGCTGAGGCAATCTTATAGCTTTGAAAAAAGATGTAACAGATATATTTTCGCCATTGTTACAAAGTTTATTATCCACTTAGGAATACTAAACTTCAAAACCCTACCTCTGCATTCTATACAGTAACACAATTACCTAAATGTTTAATGCATGTGCTGTATTGAGTTCTCTGAGGTGAAGAACACAGAAGCCACTGTCCAAATTAGGCTGAAGAGCTGGAAGACGCGCTCCAACCCTCTGGGGAATTTCTGTTCAACATCAGGGATTTTCCACGTTGTTTCTGCCCCTTGTCTGTGGGTGCATAGTAGGTTCTGGGTATCTCTTAGTCAGACTGTTCTGAAGTTTTGGGCCAATACATGATTCAAAAAGGATAATAAATGTAATATGCCTTATTATATTTTACGGGTGGAGGAACAGTTTACCCACCGTGATGGCAGAAGGAAGCAGGGGGCCAGCCCCCCAGAGCTCATCTCCAAGGCTGGGCTTGACAGCATCCTAGCTCTCCCTCCTGGATGCTGTCTCCCCTTGCCCTTGAGACTTGCACTCAAATAGCACCCAGGCCCTCAGCATTTACCCAGATGCTCACACTGACACGTTCTGATGCTTGGGATGTGCATTCCCTATGCCTGGGACGCCCTCTCCCTGCTCAGCCCTCTTCCCTCCCCACCATCAGTAATCTTGTTCAGAGCATCTTCTGTGCAGCGCAGTGGCCGCTCCTTTACCAGTGAGCAGGTCTGCTGTGCCCAGACAGGAGGCCGTTCCAGGGCTTAGAGAAGGAAGAGTTGGACAGATAGAATGAGGGCAAAATGAGCAGGGCTTTGACAACCAGGTGGAAGAGGTTCTATTTCCACGATCCAGGGAGTAGCTCCAGACTCCTTGCATTTAAAAAACAAGTGAAAAGGCTTTGGCCAGGCAAAGGCGGGAATATTGGCCAAGGCGAGGTCGGGTGAGCTTCACCATCTTAGCTCTTGACAGCCAGAGATTATTGAACGGGCTGGAACTGAAAGAGTATCTATTCAACTTGGTCAACTCTATTTTGCCTTTTTAAAAATAATCTTCTGAAAATTCGTAAAACAGGTTTGGTGTTAAAGCTATCTCAAGACACAGACATTCACCTGCTTTTATTTCTCTTTAAGCTTTTTGTTTTTCACTCTTTAATTCAGTTGTTTATTGAATGCTTACTCTGGCCAGACTCTCTCCACTAGCTGGAGGTCCAGTAATGAGTAGTCAGGTAGCTTGGAGCGTTGCCCGCGGGACCGTGATTGACAACAAACAAGCAAAGGAACAAGCAAGCAGATAAAGGAACTTGGTGGGCTCCCAGCTGGGTGGCAGTGGGGCTGGGCAGCCCTGGTTCTCTGGCAGTGGGTCAGGGAACCTTCTCCAGGGGGTCTTGTTTAGGCTCAGAGTGTGAAGCAGGGCATAGCACCTAGGTAACAGGGACGTCCTCTTAGGTCTGGTGGTACAGGACCCAGTCCTCTGAGACACTGTGTGAACTCCTGGTACGAATATGTGATGCGAGCTTCCCCCAAAATGGATTTCTATCTCATAAACAACTGCTATATGTAAATTATAGTCGAACCCTCCATTTTTGCTATTAAAGTTAAAAAAATATCTTCATATGTCCAATCAGCAGGTTCACGTGTAGCCAAGAAATGTTTTAAAATGTGTCACAAAACTTAGGCTGTGATCCTTACGTTATCTACTAAAATTTTCTCTATGTTTTTATCATGAGAGCGCACGTCTGTCTATTCCAAGGAGAGCTCTGGATTGGAATAAGGGAGCGAGTCCTTCTTAAGATGCAAGAATAAGTGGTCAACCTGATGACAATTGTTCACACTGTTCTTATGGTAATTACCATCTCCTGCACGTTTATTATGTGTTAATCCCCTGCTAGAGGTGGGACTTGACTTACTTCTCATTTTCATAACAATTCTGAAGAGCTGTCACTCCCTCGCCTGTTTTTGAGATGAGGTCACTGAGGCCTGAGGAGGTGAATCTACCCACGAACATTTCACAGTGAGCTGGTGTGTTTTGCTGTGAAGTTGTCAGTTTCATGCAAGAACGGTTGCAACATTCCTCGTCAAAAGTACACCCATTATTTAAACACCGAAGGAACTGCAACGGCATCCCATCAAGAGGACCCTGGCATGAAGTCTGAAGACGGCTTGGTTATAAAAGTGCAGGTACAGGATGCACATTTTGTGGAAAATTAAAAAAAAAAAACAACACAGATCAAATACAGTCATCAAGTTTGTGCATGCCTCCAAGCCGTGGTCATCAGGGTTTTGAGGGTGACGAAAAGTCACACCAAAAGAAAAGATTTGAGATTCTCAATGAATCTAAGCAAACACGTAGGGGAGTGAGGGCTGGAAAATCCCACATAGAGATTTAAGGGTGTGTCTGCGTCTTTTTTGTATCTCTGCATCTTCTGAAACCAGTGGCCTGTGTAGTTCAGGGGCAGCCTTCTGATGGGCGCATCGTCACATTAGCTAATTTGAATTCCTGTGGAATTTTCTTGTAGCCTGTGAACAGCGTTTCTCTGTGACCGCCCCCTGCTTCCTGGTGCTGTTCTCACAGGTACAGGAAAGATGAATCACATCGGGGGATGTGACTCAAAAATACAGTCTCAGTCTTCACATTAAGATATGATGATTGAACACAAGTAGGCAATGAAGGCGCATTCAAGTTGAGTATTAATCGAACGAGACAGTTCTACCAAATCTCGAAACAGGAATATGCAAAAACAATTCCGTAGTCTAGTGCTAGCTTTTATATAACCAGCGTATCAGGCTGGGTGGGCGTGATGTTTTGAAAACTGTGGTTTTCAATAGGAGATGATACTGCACGCCCCACCCGTTCCCCGCCACCCTGACCTCTCCAGTGGACATTTGACACTGTCTGGAGACATTTTTGGTTGTCACACCAGGGAGGTGGGTGCTACTGGCCTCTAGTGGGTAGAGGTAAGGGATGCTGCAAAAACCCCTACAATGCACAGGACAGGCCTCCAGGATGAAGACTGGGGGACAAGACATCTGGCCTCGGATGTCAATAGGGCCGAGGTTGACAAACCCTGCTTTAAAAGCTAAGTCATGGGATTTCCCTGGCGGTCCAGTGGTTAAGACTCCACGCTTCCACTGCAGGGGACGCTGGTTCGATCCCTGGTCGGGGAACTGAGATGCCAATGTGTCACGTGGCACAGCCAAAAGAAAAAAAAATATTTTTTTAATTAAAAAAAAAAGCTAAGTCAGTTCATGCCATTTCCCACTCACATCTCTCCACCGGTTTCCTATTTTGCTCAGATCACGATCCAAAGGCTTCCTGAGGCTGAGGGACCCTCGAGGACCCCGCTCCCTGCTCGCCTTGGACCTCATTTCCAACTGCCCATCTGCCGCACCCCTCCCCAGCCCCACCAGCTTCTCTGCATCCCTCCGCTCAGCTCATCCTCTCACTCTCCCGGAGTGAAGGCAGGGGCTCCGCGCTTTGTTCAGGGCTCTGCGCAAACTACCCCGAGCAGAAAGGCCTTCCCAACCACCTTCTGGAAAACGGCGCCCCTCTCCCTTCCCCAGGTCAATTTCTGTCCTCACAACTTGCTTTAGCTTTCTACACGGTCTTTCTCATCACATGCCATGTTAATGCTTCAAGCTTTTGTTTGTTTTCTGTCTCCACCTTCCAGAAAATCGACACCACGAGCTCAAATGCAATCTTGGTGCCTCCAAGGGTGCCTGCACATAGTAGGTGCTCAATAAGTATTTGTTGAAAGAGAAAAAAGAATGAATAATAAATGAATGAATACAACAACATTGCTATAAAAAATCCACTTTCTTAAAGAAACCACACTCTGTGTAACTGCGAAATAGTTGACAAGTTTACTAACTGAAGAATTCATGTGAATTATTACAGAGAAAGCATACACCACAGTAATCATTTCTCCCCATTCACATGAGATTACTGGAAACATATAGAAGGATTTCCACTGTTAATGATATGCCTTGAGTTCTAATCTCCACTTATTTAACATTTTAAGGTAAGGAAATTTCAGTGTGTGTGGTAAACATGTTTTACTCATTCAAAGGGCCAGAGCTGTTTGCTTTCTACCTAAGAGTGTTAAACTGGACAAGACACAATAGCCAAGATACGGAAGCAACCCACTGATGGATGAATGGATAAAGAAGATGTGGTACATATATGCAATAAGCCATAAAAAGAATGAAATCTTGCCATTCGTGACTACATGGATGGACCTTGAAGGTATCATGTTAAGTGAAATAAGTCAGACAGAGAAAGACAAATTACTGTATGATTTCACTTATATGTGGAATTCAAAAAACAAAACAAATGAAGAAACATAACAAAACAGACACAGAATCATAGATACAGAGAGCAAACAGGTAGTTGCCAGAGGGAAGGGTGGCAGGGGATGAGAGAAATAGGTGAGGGAGATTGAGAGGAACGAAGCTTCCAGTTACAGAATAAATGAGTCACGGGTGTGAAATGTACAGTGTGGGGAATATAGTCAAAAATAATGTCATAGCTTTTAAACAACAAACAAAATCAAAGGGCCAGAGCTGTTTGATTTCAACCTAAGAGCGTTAACTTGCAGGAGA